GGAAGCAGCTCCTTTTTTTTCCAGTCACAAAAGAGTCTGTTTTGGTGATTCTTTGCCAGCGACACTTGACAGCATCCCTAGGCCCGACCCTATGAACCCCCAAATTCAAAGGAAAATGAGGCTCTGCAAAACTGAGAATTGAGGGGAGATTCCAGAGGAAAGGCCAAATTAATAATCTGCTCTGCGCAACGGAACAGAAATGAACAAAGTCTGGTCAAAAGCAGGAGAAAGAGGGGTACGAGCTCGTAATTCCCATGAAATGCCTGTACTCAATTATTAATGCATTGAGCGCTCGAACTCTGAGAGTGAGATAAATGTCTAGGTCGGTGGTGAAAAAGGGTGGTGCTAATACATGCCAAAATCTTAAAGTGTTCATTTTATATTAATTTCAGTGAACATAAATGTTGGGGAAAGAAGGAAAAAAAAAAAAAATCATGACTAATCCAGCAGATTAATCTTGGTTGCCTTAAGTACATTTAAGGGTTGAGGTGTGCCTTGTTTCCTATAGGGCCTTTGATTTTGGCTGTGGAACTACAGAAAGATAACCAATTTGCATTTTTCGCTTGCAACTGTAAATGGCCTCTGTAAAACAAGGTTATCTTCCCTACAGAAGAACTACTTGATTTTTCAGCAGCTCATAGTTCATAAATGCAGCTAACTCGTTTTGAAGCTGGGTTTGTTCTGTTTATTTCTGTATCCACCCTAGGTCATCTCTGCATAGGAATATAAGAAAAAACAGAAAGGGAGTTCCTGCTTGATGGGGGGGGGGAGTGTGTCTCACACTTCACCCTCCATTGCAAAGAACTGTGAAATAGATACTTGGTCCCGAAAGTTCATAGAACATCTATTCCACATACCCATGTGAGGAAAGAAAGGTGTCATCAATATTCTTTAGTCCTTGCAGTAACAAGAAATTTGTTTGGGTAAATTCTTAGAGAAAGGACTATGCTTGCAAACTACAGACAAAAAAAGATCAGCAAATGCGGAATCTCCATGGCTTTTACAGCCGGGGACAATTCTATGCTCACTGCAGATGTGGCGACTGGTGCTACCTGGCCCGAGTGCTGGACACCAGCTCACCAGCCAGGTATCTGGAAGACTCAGCTGAAAATTCAGGATTAGTGCGTCCTGCCTTACACCTGCCTTTCGCTGTGGCCCACCTTCAACGTTTCCAAGTAAAATCAACATGGTACTCGTTAGCCTCAAAGCCAGTGCCTTTTCAAGTAGCCAACAGAAATGATGGAGAATCATGAATAATATATCAGAAATACACGCAAAGAATTATGATCAGCGCGCAGTAAGCAAGTGTCCTTTATGCCCAATCTTTTGGGGTCAGTCAATGCAATCGAATATCCAGAGATTAATAATTGGAGATCCAAAGAGGAGAGTTTAACTCAATGATCAGAGGAACAAAACCATCAGGCTTTATCTTAAAACGGTTTAGGTTCCTTGCTCCACTGTTTAGTGTGTAAAGCAAATGTAGAAATTCAGAGGTTCAGAAAACTTTGATTTCCAGAGTAAATTTATTGACAGACCTGATCCTGTGCTAGTATTACTTTTTAGTTTAAAAAGTTTTCTTTTAATTTATTCCCCCATATGAAGTGGTGCCATAATCCATCTCAACCTTCATTTCGCCCACAGAATTAACCATTGTTGCCTCCTAATTTATGTCCTTATCATTATCTTTTCTGAACGTGTTCTGATAGGAGTTATTCTGTCTTTCAGCATCGTGTGTCTGCATACAGACTAAAGGAGATCTTGGCCTATGAGAAGAAACTAATGCTTTCCTTACTGGAAATCCTGTGGCTGATGCAGAGTAGGATTATCACTTCCGTGTCAGAGTGGTGGGTTCTGACAGAGGTTAGCAATGTCTGCTCTGCCTAAATTACCTCCGTCATCAGTGGAGCAAGATAGACTGCTTTAGGGGGAAGTAGTGAGCAGGAGCCTTGCTGGAGACAATACATTTTTTTTTTAATGCAAAAGGAAACCCAGTAGGTACTCCTTCATTTCATCTGTCTTCCCAGTGATTTGATTCTGTGCCAGAGGAACAAGTACTTGCAAAATGTATTAAGTTTGCATAAAATACCATTACTTTGGCAAAATGAAGTCATGTTAAGAGACAGAATTTTGCACTATGGCCATATTAGGAAAATTAATTCTTTGGATACATTTTTTTTTAAGCTCTACAGGTGGTCGGGCTTTGGAGTGCAGTAGAAGAAATGACTTCACCATCTTCAGCTGTACTGGTTGTTATTTTTGGCTGTTTCATACTTCATGAAATCTGGTTAATTATTGTTGGTTTTTTTAATACTTACAAGTCCTTCTGGGTGAATTTTATAAAACATTTATTTTTATTGCTTATATAACTACCTAAAGTGTTTTTCTTGGTAGACAACTGTAATGTTTTTGCCAAAACAGATTCTATTTCATTTTTGGGAAATTGTTGGAAATCTAATATTCCTGTTTTCAGTGGTGCCTGTGCCATGTTATTAAACTAGGCTTTATGGAGATGAAAAATTGTTCTTGACAGGAATCATAACCATTTGTTTACACTAACTAAGCTGTATGGCTCTATCCCATTTGGAATTCAGTGCTGTTCCTCTCATATAGCGATGCTTAACCCGTAACCTCCTAGCTGCCTGTCAACTCTCAGAGGTCTCCACCGTAAACTTCTCAAATGTTTCACGGCTGTGTCTGGCCCTCCGCATCCCGGAAGAGACATAGGCCTGTGCTGGACCTGTGAATGCTCTTGTTTGGGTGTGTCTGAGGAAGTGGAGCCACCAGGATCACTGCAAGGATAGAACTGCTAAGAGAGGTCTGGAAGAAATCTCTTTACCTCCGTAGTCCAGCAGGCAACCACGTAATATAATCTCTTTTTTAAACTGAGCAAGTATCTTCCTAAAAGTAGCTAGGTTTCTTGCCATCAGTATTTCTAATGAAAAGCTATTATAACACTTAGTGCTCTAATGGTTGGAAACCTTGTAATTCCCAGCCTAAATGCGGTGGTGATGGGTTTTATACTCATTCTTCTGGCAAGTATGTAAGCTTGAGCGGTTCTTTTCATAGTTTTTGCTTGATGGCTTTGTAGACAAAGGCAGGCTCTCATCGGCCTTTGTTTTGCCAGACTAGATAAGACATGCTCTTAAAAGTTTCCTGTCATAAGACATTCTCTTCATTTCTCTTACCACTCTTTTAGACTTTCCACGTATGGATTCAAGTCTGACTTCACTTGAATGTGACTTGTACAGAATACTCCAGGTAATGCTTTACCAATGCTTTGCAGAATTTACGGGCTTCAGTATCTCGCCTGGAACTTTCCTGGTACATCCTAGGATCATGTTAGCATTTTCCTCGCAAAAGTGGTTTCTTAACCATTTGGTGTTCAGCTGTTTTTCCTCAGTTTTTCCTCGATGGTTTCCAAATAACCGACTACGAAGTGAGAATTCTGTAGCATTTTATTGTTTTCACTAATCCATTTTGCACACCTGTTGCTCATGTTCTGGTCATGTTGTTCCCCCTGCGTGATTGTCTCCTGACTTCATGTTGTCATCAGGGTGATGTCAAGGATATTGATAAAACACTAAGTTAAACTAGCCCCAAGATTGATCTTTCAGGAAGTCACCATTAGTAACTTACTTTTAACCTGATACTATTCCTTTTCCATATGATGTATGACTATCTGACCTTTATTTTGTGTCTTGTTCACCGCATGTTTCCTTGGCCAATTCCATCATCTCCGGCTTAGTTCATGCTTTTCCATGTAACAGCACATCAAAAGCTGCATGGGAGTCTAAGTAGATGGTCTGTGCTTCATTTTTCTTGTATAAAAATGGAGACAGGCACTGCAGTAATGTAGCGAGATGTACTGCCTTTGCCATCGTGGCCAGAATCATCATCTGTCTGTTGTTTTTAATCATTATCCCAGCTTAACAGTGCAGGTCGTGCTGCTTTCTTCTTGTCTTTTTGAACGCACTTGCAACACTTTTTGCTCTGTGTTTTAATACATTCATTAAGACAATTTCAAATTGATTTTAACAATTCTTACTTTACATTGTATATTCTAGCTGCTAAGACATAACTTTTTTACAGATCAGTCTTTTTTTCTGTTAGTTTTTGACACTCTGAATATTCATGATGTCTTGCTTGAGATGGTTATTTAACCAATTGGGTTTAAAGCCTATTCCTGCATGCATTCATTCCCATGCTTCCACGATCAAATATTTTCATCCCCTTTTGACCTGAATTAAGACCTCTTTCACATTCACATCCTGAGATCCCTTCCATAATTTGACTTATTTCATTCAGTTTTTCTCTTAACTGTTAAAGCTTGTCATTTTAGCATAGTGAGTTCGTTTAGGCTGGAAAAGACCTTTAAGATCATCAAGTCCAACAGTTAACGTAGCACCGCCAATTCCACCATTAAACCATGTCCCTAAGCACCACATCTACCCATCTTCTAAATACCTCCAGGAGTGGGGACTCAACCACTTCCCTGGGCAGTCTGTTCCAGTGCTGTTCCTTGACATCCTTGAAGTAACATATTCCTTACTGAGAAAAGTTAAAAGTAGTATCATCTTTTTACTGCTTCCCTGACTATTAAGTGAGGAACTGTGCTACTGTTGATGTGAAGAATGCTTGGGCATTGCTCATTTCTAGTCTTTGAATAATTAACTTCTTTTTCCAAGTGTCACATTTCCCAATTACATTTCCCTTTCTAATCATATTACCGAGCTTGCTGACCATACCAAAAGCCAAACCTTGGAGTTTAATAAAACTTCTCGACTCCCTGTTCTCCACAGATACTCTGGGATGAGTCAGTGCTGGTTTTTACACACCGTTCTTTCTTTTGTATTCCTAAGGTGAGTAGACTGAATCTTTTTTCACTTCCTTGCTTCCCTACTGACTGATGAAAAATCTTGCCCTTACATCATGACATCACTTCAATACACTGTGGCATGGTAATATTTAATCACAGCTGTGGAATTTTTAGACTTGCTAAGGAAAGGTCCAGGGATGACATATTAGCGAGTAAGAATGATGGATACTTTTTTATAGCCCTCCTGAAAAGATCCCAGAGTGCGTGCTAAACTTTAAAAACCAATTACAAACTATTCTATTGAAGGAATTGCATCCCTCATCATTGAAATGCAGCTACCCCTGGGAGAAGGCAAGGAACTTTTTAATAGTGTGCAGAAGTATTTCAGCACTTCAGGGGAGAAAATGAATAATACTACAATCAACTGAGCAGAAAGAGAATATTTAGGTAAGTAGTTAGATATAGTTGTTTTAACTGGATGTAGGCCAGAAACCTAGGAAAAACCTACTGCTAATGCAAAAAAAAAAAAAAAAAAAGGAATTGGGATTTTTAAGTCACAAATGATCAAGTCCTTTGGTTTACATTTACATCTCAAAACACAACACCTCAAGCAGCAGTCGTAGCAGAGCTTGCTTTTATAACTGGGTTACCGACATTGCCTCCTTCCGTGGGTCAGAATGATGTCTGATTTCCCCAAGAACCTACAACAATGTGCCTGCAAGCAGATTGGCTCCTTTAGCTATTTTCAGGGCATTTCTGCTTTTTCTTGCCATTTTAAACTGTTGTGTTTTAGAGGTAAATAAGGCTAAAAATGTTTTATTGCATTGGTTTCTGACAAACAAACTAACAAGATAAAAAGATTCCCTTACTGCCTGCCTGCCCAAAAACTGAACAGAAGTCTCTATCATGACTGCTAGTTCTGAGCATGCTTTCTTACTTTGTCTCCAAAGACTTTGAATGGAGAATTCAGAGAGAGAGAGAGAAAACAGGAAAATGATGTGCAGTGACGAGGCTATGTTCATTCCTGACAATCATAAAAGATCAGGAGTCCTTTTTAAAAAGGTTAAAATAATGTGGATTACTCTGATCATCATGTTAATCTGTCAGCAGCACTCGTGATCGTCTAAAATGTAGCTGTGTTCCTTGTACGTTTTAGCTAGAACCGTCACCTACAGGAAGATGTAAAGGGTTGATTTGGAATCTCTTACAAATAGCAAAATTGCAATCCAGTCAGGCGCAGTAGGATCATGGCAAGGAATTTACCACAGAAAGAGCTGTTTTGAATGTATGCATACATAATACAGAGACTTTTATTATTTTTTAATTATATTATTAATGAAATGTGTAAATCCCCAGGGAGCAATGTGACTCGGGAGAAAAACATACTGGCTAGAAGGGCATTTCTCCCAAGGCTGTATACAATACAAAAAAATCTTCTAGGATACGTGTTCAGCAAACACATTCTAAAAAGGTTGAAAAGTCTCTCCCGCTTCAGAACTCAGGCTGAACTGACATTTTCATTACATGAATAATGGGTAATTTCTATATGTGTCAGTCCACTGGAACTGGAGTGGAACAGAACTTACTGAACAGCTAAGCAGAAGTGACTGAAAAAATTGAAAAATTGCCCCAAGAGGGACGGTTTTTCCTGCATCTCCTCAAGAAAGCTCTCTAGTTGCTAAATCTTTCTCTCCTTGTTTGATAGAACATTAAACTCTGTGAGCTAGCCAGAGATAACACCTTCCTTTTTGGCTTAGGGAAGGTTTAACAAGGAAATCAAAGAATATGTGCTCAATTTCCAGGATAAAAACAAGTTGACAAATTGCCCAAATTGTCTGAAATAGTTCTGGCATTGTACAGGACTGTATAGAGAAGCAGCAACACTACAGTCAGTCAGTTATTTAAATTAGTCAGTGTTAGAGAAAACTATAATAAACACCAGTCTTGTCTTATCGTGGGCATCTGAGTAGGTATAAATACAGCAGATTAAATCTTTACCTATTTTAAATTATTATAACTTCATTGACTTCAGCAGAGCCATTGCTACTCTAGTGCTCATGAACGTAAGAGAGAAAAACTGGACAGAACAATTACAGTTGTCCATATACATTTCAGAGTAAATCTATTGTCACTCTTCAGAAAATTGATCGCTGTCATGGAAAATCAGTGCAAATCTGTTCAAAAAATGCAACAGATAGAATAGGAGAGAAAATAAAATTGGAAATACTATAATAAGCACACACATATATATAATGGCATTATATAAAAATGGTATTGTATATACATAATATATGATGATGTATATATTTATATACATATATAATCATACTTATTGTGTATTGGTTTTGTAAAGAAGCTCATAAGTGGGTGATGGCAAGCTGTTGAAGCTAGGAAAGACTGACTTTCTGGAGAATAGATTAGGTGCTAGAGAAGGGAAGGGGAAGAATAAAACGTGATTGAAACTTGTAAAGCACTGAATGCTGAGAGCTACATTATATGAACTGAAGAAATTGAAGCTTTAAGTGAAAGTGAATTCTCAGGAACCCATAAAACTTAAAGGCAAGAAATAGTTTTTTTTGCAGTATATAATTAAGTAATAGAACTAATTTTCAAAATATGTAAATGAAGCCAGCAGTTTGAAGCAATTTATTTAAGGCGCAGGCAATAAAAGACACTAACCCTTTTGCTTCAAATAAAAAGCAGCTGTCCACAAATGGGGATTTAAAGTAAGATTTATGAAATGGCCAGGTTATTCAAACATTATGCACTTAGTTTTAATACTGATGGGGTTACTCTACATTAAGAGTGACTGCTGAGAGTCGTTAGTAGAATAAATGTCATTTTCGGTTGACTCACTGAAGCAGGTTACACGAGGAGTACCAGGAGAAACTCACTAAGCAAAGCAATTCAGTTTGAACAGAATCATCTTTAAGGACTGTTCCCTAAGAACAACCAAACATTGTGAGAAAGTTTGAGCTGATTTTTTTTTGTGTCTTACTATTTCTATTAAAAGGCCTCTAATTATAGGATCAGAGTCACTCAGGCAGGAAGGGCCTTCAAGAGGTCTTTGGCCTGACCCCCTGCCCAAAGCAGGGCCATCTCTGGGATCAGACCAGGCTGCTCAAGGCTTTCTCCAGGCAGGTCTTGAAACCCTCCAAAGATAGGGCCTCCCAAACCTCACTGGTTCCACTGCTTGGCTCTCCTCAGGGTGAGAATCTTTTTCTTTATATCCAGCCTGAACCTCTCTTGTTTCAACTTGTGTCCATTAGAATCATAGAATCGTTTAGGTTGGAAAAGACCTTTAAGATCATCAAGTCCAACTGTTAACCTAATCCTGCCATCCCACCACTAAACCATGGCCCTAAGCACCTCATCTACACGGCTTTTAAATGCCTCCAGGGATGGGGATTCGACCACTTCCCTGGGCAGCCCCTTCCAGTGCTTGACAACGCTTTCGGCGGAGAAATTTTTCCTCATGTCCAATCTAAACCTCCCCTGGCACAGCCCAAGG